AAATAGTATTAAAATGTTTTGTCAAGACTGGGTTCACTCAAGTTAGGTCAGGTCAGGTCCGGTCGGTTTGACAAAAATTGAAAGTAAGTATTACATGAATGCGTGCCGAAAATAAAGTAGTATATTGTTGTTTTTTTTTTTAATTTTTTAACGCATTTTTGGCTTATTATATTAACTAGGAACTTATAATAATGAACATAATAAAGAAGTAATATGTAATGTTAACAAGAAAAATCTGTATTATTGTCATTTCTATTATTATTATTTTGAAATTTTAAATAGTCCATCGGACGAATGGCCACTTTTATATTTTATCGACGTTTCGTAACCCTTACAGGACGAAAAAAGTACTCTCCTGTTTCCGTCCGTCTGTCTGTCTGCTTGGTGTGACTAGTATTATCCATGTTGATCACAAATCTTGTATTCGTCAAATTAAGAACGACTCGTCCCATTTTCTCGAACATGTGAACAATGCGGAGGTCTTTATATAATAATGACAAAATAAGTGTTATATTATTCATAACATTTTGTTCGACTGTGGTTTAATTAATTTTAGTCCTGTTTTGAGAAGACAAACTCATTCAAATCAAACTAATTTCTACGTGACATTCTTTCGATGCATAAACATAAATAAGCACTTCAGCTGCAGATTGCTATCATCTATTGCTGAAAGACAAGGGGTGTTATTTATGCCTCTTTTTTTTACTTTACAGCGGTTATTGCAAAACGAAAATCGTAAAATCAAATTTTATAATTTGTAAAAAGCTTCGACCAATACTTTACTGGCCAAATTAAGAACCTCGTTTTCTAGAAAAAAATTCCTACGTCTTTATTTAATTATCATCAAATAAGGATAATAATAACCATATTCAAAACATTTTGTTCCATTGTGGCTTAATTAATAATTTTAGTCTTCTGTTTCGAGGAGCAACTCATTCAAGTTAAACAAATTTCTACGGGACGTTCTTTGGATGTGTAAACATAAACAATCGAAGTTAAGCATGTATATTGATAATAATATACTCTTTTTCTTTGGTTATTTGCTATGAATATTTTTCATATTGTCCGTGTCTGCGGACGGCACCTCCTTGGAATTGGTCATTTACACCACTGGTTTTTACTACATAAAGTTTATCAGGAAAAAACTTTTTTTTATAATTTTTCAGAGAAACGGAATTCTTTCGACTGTTTCAGGAGAGAGGGAAGTTCTGTCGAAGTAACCTTGAATTCCATTCATACTTCCATTTTCTTGTATGAGTTTAGACATTAAAACTTTCATTTCAGTTTCTGAAATTGTTTACGATTTCAGTAAACAGAGTAATAGTAAATTGAAAACTTTGGGATAGGAGCTTTCTTTAGTATGTGTAGAAAATGAAATGTTCTAAAAAAATTCAAATCGTTTATTTTTAAACTCGGCTATTTTAAAATTTTAGAGGAGACTGTTTCAACTTTTCAAGAAGAATTGAATTTACGAGAAAGTACTTCTGATCTTGAAATAATTGCCAATATAATTTTGATTTTCTTTTTTTTTTTTTTTTCAAAAAACCTCCGTGTCCAGGATAAAAATTCACCATGGATTCACAAATCACAAATTCAGAAAAATCGAAAAACTGAAGAAATGAAATGAATTTATTACTTCCTGAGCGTAAGCTAAATAATAAGTATAGTAATCAAGTCTATCGGGCGACTTGCCAGTTTCATGTTTTCTCAACGTTTCATGGCTAGATTACGAAAAAAGTGGTTCTCCGTTTTCGTTTATCTGTCCACTGTTTGTTGGTCCGTCTATCTGTGTGTCCATCTGTCTGTGTCGATTTTTGTTAAACTGATATTCTCCGAAACTACTGGACGGATAGTTGTCAAATTTTGTCTAATGGTCTCCCGTTATGACGTCACCTTAAAATTATACATTTAGATAATTGTATTTAAAATGGATTTAAATTATTATTAATTTAAATTATAATTAGTCTAAGTTGTCTAAAATAATATAGTCGTAGTTCATAAACCTGTGGCGAGGTTTTAAAATTTTCCAGAAAATTTGGAAATACAATACACCGCACTTATGCTAATTGATATACGTGTTCTTGAAAAAATGTTGATGACGTCATCACAACCAATGTTTTAGCCGTGCATTTTTGTCCTTACAACAAAGAATATCATCTTTAATGCGCAGTTACAAGATTTTACGAAAATAGATTAATCTAAAACTAGTTTTAAACATTCAAATATTCGCATATTTGAGTGATGTATTTATCCATCAGATAATGTAGAGAATATAACAGATTTATGAATTAACTTCAGCTAATTATTTATCTAACTAATAACTGTTTTCATGCTGACTGATATTTGATGACGTCATCTCACAGTTTTGCTAAGTAAATCTTGCTTGAACATTGTATTGTGACATGCTTCTTTATCTATGATTTATTAAGTGTATCCATATTTTTTAACCTTACACATGGGGGTTTCCAGAAAAAATAAAAACACTCGTAAAAAAGTAAAATTCGCAAAATCAAATTTTTTAGTTTTTCAAAAAAAACTGGATCCTTTATTGTACTGCAGGAGCGAGGGAAATTCTGTCGAACTTTTACCATTTTTTTTTTCATTTCTCGAGCCTAAGCTAAGGAAGTATAGTTAAAACGTAGAAGAAATAAGTCGACGCCACAAATCTTCGAATTTTATTTAGATTGCTAACATGTTTCGATATAAATTAGTATCATCGTCCGAGCTATATACTGAAAAATGTTTACTAACGTTATTTAGACAGAACTTTCAAACAAATTCAATGTACTTAAAAAAATGTGCACAAGGAGTATCAGTTGCATAAATTTAGTGCCTCATTCGTCTGTCGTACGCAAGACAACATTTTTATAAAGTCATTGTTATTAAAATCAATTTGGGTTCATAAACCACAAGTGTAGGAATATATCATTTTATCAAATTTAATTAATGTTTAATGTAAAAACTTTTGAGGTGATGTCATCTGCCTGTTGCTCGTAACATGTAATTTCCCTCTGTGTCTAATCATGAAAACTTTTAGCAAAGCCCTCTACAAGTATGAATTTACATACAATTTCATACCCTATCTACGTTCCACAGTACCTTTTAATCTTCCTTCATTATCTTTTCTTGGCAACCCGTCTTTATATTTTCAAAATTTTCAAAAAGTTAGACTGTAACATATCCTTGAAAATTAAAGTAGATTTTCCTTCCCTTCAACACTCCCATTCTATTACAGATAATTAGCGATCTCTGGTCCCCTATGAGCTTCTGAGCTGAATGATGAAAGAAAAATTTCAAAACTTTTAATTTCCTTTTTTTTTAACATAGAACCCTGACGATCATATACTAGTTTGTGTCGAAACATGTTAGAAATCTGAATAAAATCCGAATATTTGTGAATGTAGATGATTAAACCCTAACCAAAATTTGTCTAATCACCCACACCAACAGTCTGATGATGTGAAGCATTATTTAAATTGTATAAAATAATACATTCCTATACTTGTGATTTATGAATCCGTTTTTATTTTTAATGCCAATTAGTAGAGAGCGGAAAATATGCAGCAAAATTTTGAGAAATATGATCATATGATATGCACCAAATTTATGCAAATATGCAGTAACTTTCTTAATATATGCAGAGATATGCAGTTGCATATGCTCCAAAAATAAAGAAAAAGCTTAATAAGCGAACTAAATTTATTTATAAAATACAAAAAACAGGTTTCCCGAGCTTACGTTTTAATTAAAAAAAATACATAAATCACATTGCAAAGTGTTTAATTACATTTCACTAACACATAAATCACGTTTTTAAAGATAATATTCTTATAGCAAAAAATAAATAAAAACAGAACAAATTAAAAAATAGTAGTAATCCATTATGTAACTACTCTTTTCGTAACAATTTATTTATAAATATTTTTCGAAATATTCTAACAAAAAGTTTTTCCGCTGATTATAAAGTATATGTATTTGTAAATAGAAAAACTGCGTACTACGTCCACAGATATAAAAATACTTACCGATTTAGTGCAGGCGCGACAAAACACAGTTCGTTCTTGAAGAATAAGTTCAGGAAGAGGTTTAACCCATACATTAATTTGAGTTATTTTCGAGTTTTCGACATATTGATACAACTGTATCCCTTTAAATGCTTCAATACAAACTCACGATGAAAAATAATAGTATAACGTCCCTTCGACCACCACTAAACGTACCATTAATACACTTAACTAACGAACAAAAATATTGGGAGTGAACGGTATTTCCCAAAGTAATTAGGGAGCGAATTTACCTGGAAAGATGGCGTCTCCAAACTACCATAAAACCCAAACCTTTCCTAGCTATTTGAAGCTTAGAACAATATTTGCAATATGATTCATCAAATTTCGTCTTTCTAAATAAATGCCGATAGAATGACATTTTTTTTTTCAAATTAGCACAAAAATTGATAAAAATGCAAAATATGCACCTGTTCCGTGAAATATGCAGCAGAAGGCAAATATATGCAAATATGCAATTTTTTTATAGCTGTATTCATTTTTAATTAGCATGATTCGTTCACATATTAAATATCAAGTCTTATATGCAAAAAATAACGGATATGCAAATTTCATAAAATCCGCTCTCTACCAATTAGTTTACAAAAATGTTGAAAATTGTATAAAAAGTTCACATTTTGAAAAACTAGCTTTGAAATGGAGGACTCTTGGAAACTAAATAATTAAATTTACCGTAGTTGTACTTTCGTTTGTAATTGTTTATATAATTTTCAAAATAAGCGCGTATTTTAAAATATTGATGACCAAGTTACGGTTTAAACAAACATAAGGATACATGTCGAAATTTTGAACATGGAAAAAAAAGTAACACAAAAAATACGTGAACTCGTTCACGAAACGTCTTTAGCACCCTCGAATAATATTGTAACTCGGCTAGCGCCTCTTCAGAATAACATTATTCTCGGGCATACACAAATAATAATTTCTCATACTCACAAATTTTTAATCTCGCACATTATTTCCTTGTTCGAAGTAAATAAATTCTCTTGATCTTAGCTTGCCAACCACACACAAAAGACTGCCACCAGGAACCGTGAATGATAAAATTATTTATTATTGTTTCGCGGTCGTGGTTTTTGTTTTTATGTACGTAAGTGGAACCAAATGATTTCAGAGTTGTTACGAAAAGTGCTAATAGTTGTCTTGTGACGTACTGTTCAAACGTTTACAAACAATTATCTCCTTTGAAATAAGTCTTTCGGACAGTCCGCTGCCTAATTTAATCAAATCACGATTTACTTGCACTAATAACACTAACCAGAAATAAAAATACACGTGTTATTGTTTTTGACGGTGCTAATAATACACTAGTTATTAAATTTTGTTCGGGTTTTATTGTCCACAAAACACGGTTATTCTTACACACTGCTTACGTTAGAATGTCAAGATTGTTTAATAGTAAACCATGTTTACGTCCATAATTAAATGGTGGGTAATTTAGAGGAAATCCTTCAAAAAATTATGTCTTTATAAATAATCCTAGTCATTAAAGAATCTTTACGAGAATTTTACTACTCCGATATAAAAATGTGACAAGTAATTAATTATACGCATATTTTGTTAAGTTAATTAATATCTCTCGTCTAATTTAATGTTCGCAATTTCGTCAAGTTATGTATGTTTACTTGAAAGAACAAGACAGGCGAATCTCGACAAAGTGAACAATTTTTGTTTGTATTTACTAATTCATAAAGTGTCCCTAGTGCTTATAAAATGCCAGCTGTGCAAACATATTTTTATCGCTTCAAACTGAAGGGTTACCTTGTTAGCTTCATATTTAATCTTAAAATCGTGCTTTCGCTACAAAAGTTGACAACGTTATTTGTGTAACAACTGCAGTTTAGTTGACAGTTAGTTCGAGTTTCAACCTTTAAAAAGCACTTTCCGTTGTGGTAGGACAGTGGATTTAACTAATTATTTTGACTGTTGTAAAAATTTATTAATTTAAGATTTTAATTTAACTCTACTCGTCAAGATATACAGCCAACTCTGAACAAGGAGCTTTTTGTCCAGCTGTTAGTGTACAAAAGCTTCAGTGCCCAGTAATCATAAACAACATTTTATATTTTCCAACATAAATGGATAAAGCGTTTTATGCAAATTTCTCTTTATGTAGAAATGTAATAATTTTCAAAAGAAACACTTTGGTGTGATAAAGTCAAAGTAACAAGCAATTTATTTCTTTGTGGTAACTTAACGATTACAATTAAAAAGTGTTTTCGCATTTATTTATGAGATCAATATCTGTGTTTTGTTACCCTACAATAAATCACAGCTGGAAACTTAATATCAAGCGCTTTCTTTGCATGTATTTTTCTTAAAAAAAATGTGCATAAATGTCTAAAATACTCTATAATTTTTGATCAGGAAGTTTCTAATCTCAGAATTCTTCGTATGTTATGTTCTATTAATCAGGAGTCATAGTCATCTGGATTATTAACCTATGACACAAGATTTCACGTCCAAATATAGCTCGATTACGAATTATCTCAGTCATATTTTATGATAATGTCAATGCCGTCAAATTAGTTTTTAGATTTTAATAAATATTTAGACTAAAAATTTTTACTTAAGATAATACAACTTAATATCATTGGAAAAAAATTCTGAGATATTGGGGGTGAATTTCAGAGACAGACTGTATTTTAATTTTTGTTGGGAGAAATATTTTAAAAGATGAAAATTATTTCGTGTTCGGCTTACTTGAATAAAGTTAAATTAGCAAGCAGGTGGTCATTTCCTGGCGGCGATGTAGCGATTAAAATTTATTAAAAAGTATGCACAATATTAGAGGAATTCTTTTTGCGAGATCTTAGATATTAACATGCCACGCTTGAAATTTATTCAATGACGCCACGTGCAAAAGCGGAGTCCCATTTATACATTACGCTAAAAATTTCAAGTGGAAATGAGTAGTTTTAAAACTTATAGTTCTAATCTTGTAACTTTTGAATTATGGGCCATAAATCACGTCGACGTCTGCAACGGGTTTAGTTTCCTTAAAACGTAAAGGGGTGCAATAACAGACGGAAACGTTTTGAAATATGATTGTAGGCGAAATCAACAATAGCCACAACCGGAGACTTCCTTCATATTGTAGTGTTTCTGTCGAGCTTAGTAAAGATATGCACCTATGAAACCGTGATTGTTTATTTATGGAATAAATATGACAAATAATAGTACTCGTATTAAACGTGACAATTGTTGTTGGTTTAGACTTTACAATGTAAGTATAAAGAGTTTTGAATTTGAATGGTGGAATGAAAAGAGATTTAAAAATAAAACTATGAAGAAATTTATCAAAAAGTCTGGAGTTGTATAAATTGACCAAGAATTACTACGACGTAATTTTAATTTTGATTTAATTAGCAGGTCAGTTGAAAATAATCTTAACCGGAGACGTAAAATTAACACCTACTGCCGAATAAACTTTACTAACAATTATTTGTGTTTCTGATAAAGAATTTAAGTGTTTGTAGTTGTGAAAATTAGAGATCTTTATAAAAATAATGTAGATGTTTTATCGGAAAATATCAAAGCGAAAAGTTGGAATCGCTAGTAGGTTTTCTCTAGCAAAATGTGCGTAAGAGAGTAAATAAATCTCTAAAGGTAGACCGATTTAAAAATTGATGATGAGTTAGCGACGCTCAGGGTTACAGTTTAATTAATTTTTAGAAAGGACTCTTCTAACTCGTTTAATCAATTTTCAGTGGATGTTTATGAATGTATTCCGAACGTTGTGTCTGAAAAGGTTTTGTTTTTGTGGTATGAATTGAATAGGTTGATTCTAACTAGAATTGAAAGCAATAATTAACAGAGTTCTAAACACAAACATAACAGTTTTGTTCATCGTTCTTACACTTTAGCTACAATGTAATGGTTCAGATTTTCATAAAGTACTTGATAGTCTATTGCACATGCAGTTTATTCAAACGAGAATCCACACTACCGAGGGATAATACAACCGAGGCACTTTAAATAATTCACCGTGCCAGTGCGTGGCAAAATTGAAGTATATTTTTGCAAGCGTGTAATATTTCTTCGCCCCTTTCTCTGGTTTCTTTCGGTCACTATGATCTACACAAAAGTTCCAACATAGTATTTCCTTTTTAAGAGTCGATATTAGGAAATTTATCGATATGTATTTTAACTGCAAGGATAAAATTGTTTTTACATAGTGATAAAAATTTAAAACTTGTATTAGACACAAGAAGCGAAATTGGAAGCTTTTTTCCCTATAAGCGGTTGTAATTGTATTTAGCAAATTTATTCAGAATCGCAATTTCGATAAACTTTTGATAATGAAAGCTCTATAAAGAAGTGTTTATATTTGTATATGTACTTACATCATTTTTTATTTCATCTACACTAACCGATCAAATTACTACGAAACAATATTCCCTGCGTAGGAAGGAAGTTGTAAAATTAATAATGCATTATTTAACAATGAGCATAGTAAATTTTAGCACATGTCGACGAGTCTTGATTTTTAAATTGGATGACTGGTTACTTTTATGTTTTTTCCACGTTTCATGACCCTTAGAGTACGAAAAAATAGGTTCCCCGTTTCTGTCTGTTTACCGTCAGATAATCTCCGAAATTATTGGGCCGAGTGTTGTCAAATTTTATATGCGTATTAGGATATCATGTACATAGTAAAACGTTAACCAAATTTTGTGAGTGATTTTGAGAAAGATTTTTTACATAGTGGTAACAATTTAAAAGTTTCATTAGTTGATAAAAAAAGGAAAATAACCTCAAAAGAGAAGTTGAAAGCTTTTCCCCTGTATGTGATTGTAATTGTACTTAGCAACATTTTTCTGAAACGTAAATTGGCTCCTTGAGGTTTCAAAAAATTTCGACAACGAAAGCTCTAAAGAAGTATTCATATTTGTATACTTACATTGTGTATTATTTCGTCTTCACTAATTGATCAAATGATTAAAAAAAAGTATTGTCTGTGTGGGACGGAAGTTATAAAATAAGTAATGCGCTATTTAAAGCTCATCATCGTAAATTTTAAATTATCTCCACGAGTCTTGGTTTTTAAATAGGGCTATCACGGTTTTCTTTATTTTTACCTCCAGAACGTAAGGTAAGGAAGTATTGTAATCGAGTTCATTGGACGAGTAGTTACTTTTATGTTTTCTCTGACGTTCCGTGACCTTAGAATAAGAAAAAATAAGACCCCGTTTCCATTTTCAGTCGTCTGTTGGGAGTCTTATAATGATCGTTATACAATTTTAGATATGTTTTTGGAATATCATACAGATAAAGTAAGCAGTAGCCAAAATTTGAGCCATCATCTTTAACAACAACTTGATGACGTCATCTTAAAATTTTGCGTAATAAATCCAACCTAAAATGTATAAAGACTACACTTTATTTTTAAAAATACCTTATACAGGACGTTTCAAAAATGAATGAAGCAATTTATTTTATTAGTTAAACAAAAAACGGCTTACTTTATTGCTATTATTAATATTCGCAAAATCAAGTTATATAATGTGTTTGAGATGGATTTGTTTAATTGTAGTTTAGAAGCAAGGGAAGTTCTGTCTAAATAAATAACTTCGGAAAGCATTAAATCGGTATTTCTGTATTCATATTTATTGATATCTTAACTCCTTTTCGTTAAGCACATTCTTTTGGCTATTTGTCGCGATTCGGAGTTAAGAGAAGTTTTCTGAAAATGAATTTGAAATACAGGATGATTGAAAAGTGGCGCAGTAAATGTATGACACATTATTGAGGACTGTTGAAATAATTATTGAAAAAATTTTTGGCTAAAAATATTGAAGACATATGGCTCCAAAATTAATTTTTCTTTTAGACATTTGACTACATTTTAATTCATTACGTGGTGTTGAGTACATGAAATTGATCAGACTTCATGATTGAAAAGAATTTTGGAAGTATCAAGACTGTCTTTATTCATAGTTTTCTTCATTTGATAATACTATAAAAAAACTTAAAAATTGTTCAAAATGGATCTGATAACAGTGACTAATTTTTCACCCTTTTAAATCTGGCTATTTAAATCGATATCTTGTTTTCGCAAGTGAACGTGAAATTGAGGTAAGGAACTTTAAATATTTTTTCTCGAAATTAGACCTAATAATGTACCGTTGATTTAGTGTGACATTTTTTTACCACCCTGTATATTTCACTTGTCAAGCGGCAACCAAGAGAAGCACTACTTTTCCGTCTGACT